CTGTTAATAAGTGTGGCTGAATTAACAAGACTCCACAGGGCTAGACAATAAGGTGGCTGTTAATAAGTGTGGCTGAATTAACAAGACTCCACAGGGATAGACAATAAGGTGACTGTTAATAAGTGTGGCTGAATTAACAAGACTCCACAGGGCTAGACAATAAGGTGGCTGTTAATAAGTGTGGCTGAATTAACAAGGCTCCACAGGGATAGACAATAAGGTGACTGTTAATAAGTGTGGCTGAATTAACAAAACTCCACAGGGCTAGACAAGGTGGCTGTTAATAAGTGTGGCTGAATTAACAAAACTCCACAGGGCTAGACAATATGGCTGTTAATAAGTGTGGCTGAATTAACAAGACTCCACAGGGCTAGACAATAAGGGAAGCCCGATAGTCTGAAACTAGTGAAATCACATAAAACCACTAACCCGATTGATTAGTTAAATTTGATATTGCGTATCTTGTTGAAATTTTTTTAGGTTAGCTGAACTTGCACATGGGCTAGTAAAAATTGGAAACTACTACCGCAATAGACTAGTGGTATTCAAAATTAATTTATATATTTTATAAATTCATCAGATATTTACATCATTCGTGCACATATAAATCTGTTGATTCTATATTCAAAACAGCAGTCCACGCACTGTATAAGTTGTTTTAAATGCATTTGAATGAAGAACACTTTTCTATTTTTTTTGGTACACTCACATACTCACAGAAAACTAAAGTTATGTCATATGAGATATTGTTACATACTGTCTACAGATATGGTTCAGTTTCGTATCTCTACATACCTTTATGCCATTGAGAACTTCATTCATCAATTTAATTCTAGAATCTTTAAACTTCATTTGCTGCATCTGAAAATAATAAATAGACAACATAAACGACAAAATATGGTATAGGTATCTAACAAAAACAAAAATAAACCTGTTACCTTAAACAGAGAAGGGAGCTTCATGATTACACTCTTCTATTTTGAAATGGAAATACTGTAAAATTCTAAATTTTTGCAATATTTAAAATAAAATGATTCTTCCCTGAAAAATAAATTCTGCAAAACATAACAGAAATGCTTGTACTATCACAAAGCACAAACTGAAACTTTGCTTTCTTTAGATATGTGAAAATTGATCCTTTAAATTTGCCCATTTTAGTAAAACTGAGAAATTTCAGTAAATATCTGTACAGCATCTATTTTTTTACACTTAATGCTGTAAACATCTTTAAAACATATATCAATATCACCATTTAAGGACTGACATTTTAACAGTGTCACTTTCGTTCTTGAAAATAATGAAGTTATGTGTGAAGGGCTTCATTTTAATTGATGTGTTATTGTTCCTTACTTCCCGTATAAAACTACAGCACAATCATATCTAAGGTCTCATGATTTTTTTACCTGAAGGTCTCTTGACTTTTTGGCAATAACAGCATTAACTGGAATCATGACTATCATGACTCCAGTACCAGCCAAGACTGACGGGCCAAGGGTCTGCCACAAGAAGTAGAGTGACACTACTATCTGGAATGGGCCAGACCAGATGGTGTGGAAGTAGGTCATCAGTTCCATAAAGCGCTGAGCATCAACGGACATCAGGTTCACGATCTCCCCAACCGTGGAGTTACGCCTTGCAGTATTGGACAACAGCAACATCTGACAACAAACAAATGATAGTTAAAGACAAAAGCATCGTTATATCTGTCTACAAACAGATTTCAATTGTAAACACAATTTATATCTGTCAAATAGGATAAAGGCACATTTGTCTCTAATCAAACTTAATTTCATAAACTAAAACTCAATAGTCAATACCTGGTCCAATTCATATATATTGATTACCGTTAAATGCTTATTTCTAATGCTGACTGGAAACTGTAGGAATTCTATTTACAGACCACATGTATCTGTAAACCCGACCTGAAAACTACCATACTCTACATTGGTAACAGGAGAAACAAGTCTGTACATTAAACACTAGACCTTCCTTTTTGTTTAGGAAAAAACTGGTGGACTTGCCAAACTCATAAAATTATTGCAGCATAAAGGAAGAATGTCAATTGCACATCTGCACATGAATATGTTTCAGTCTATCATTCTTCTGATAAACCTGATAAATTCACTAAAATTGTAAGCCAGATGTATTAAACTGAAAAATACCCCTACACATCCATGTGCCGTCTTTGGTAGAAGTACTTTACTAGATATGTGCTCAATACAAAATGAACAAAAAGGGCAAAATATATTTTGAAATAACTGTGGCATCAATATACCAATATACACGCACAATTACATGTGATAAATCTGTCATGTTTAAGATTGAATTGAGAGATAGTTTTTTGGACAAGTTTGCAATCCTTTAAGTACAAAAATGCAATAAGTCTGGAAATAATTATCTGACCATTTTGTCTTGTACACAGACATAACTACAAACTGTGGTCGTCAACCCTTTCAATTTGCAAGCAAATAGGAAGGTAACTGGGGAACTAGTTCTTTGGACAAGATATTAATACTGAAACTCCACAAATGACAATAAATCTAAAAATGATTATCAGATTAATATATCTGATACTTATACACAACAGCTTTTATTCCCAAACAAACTTCAACAAACTCGGGAGAGAAACTGAGAGGTTTGTTGTCCCCACACAAAGTAAATGAAAAGATAGATGGATGGAAATGGAAAACCATAAGATAGCCTCAGAATAATATCCTCTGCTTCTACACAATATTAGGGGCCCCTGAGGTGACAGTTACCTTTCTGTAGACAACAGTAATTATTGCCGTTCTTAGTTTCATGCCGAGCAGCTGACAGCCGTGAAAGTATTGGTGGAGGATGAAGGACTGAACAACAGCCACCACAAACATCATAACAGCGTAAACATAGCCACGCCATTGGTACTCCGACTTGTTTCGAGTGAACATGATGAGCTGTCTACAATAAAATAATTTCTCATTTCAATGCAAGAACTTACCCCATTTACATTTTGCAAGGTTCTAGCTAGGGGCCTGTAGATATCACCTAACACTAGTATTGTTACAAGAAGGTTCTAGCTAGGGGCCTGTCAATATCACCTAACACTGGTATTGTTACAGGAAGATTCTAGCTAGGGGCCTGTAGATATCACCTGACAATGGTATTGTTACAAGAAGGTTCTACCTAGGGGCCGGTAGAACCACCTGACACTGGTATTGTTACAAGAGGGTTCTAGCTAGGGGCCTGTCAATATCACCTAACACTGGTATTGTTACAGGAAGATTCTAGCTAGGGGCCTGTAGATATCACCTGACAGTGGTATTGTTACAAGAAGGTTCTACCTAGGGGCCGGTAGAACCACCTGACACTGGTATTGTTACAAGA